CTATATGCATATACATAAACAATAGCTTTCACTAATTACCCATAGAAGGACCAATCTTTACTAGTACAATCATTATGTTCATAACAAGAGAAACCTTACCAGAATGGAGTGTGATACTAAATAAAAAAGTGAAGATATATATGGGAAATAATTATCTCACTCAATTAAAAAAAAACGAACGGAAATGGAATGCTAATTTAGAAAAGAGGCTTCATCAGCCCTTATTCTTTTCTTTTCTGTTTTTAAGACAACATCTCTTTTATTAGCTTAACTATTTCAAATGGGCCCTGAATTAACCAGAACAAAATAGGACATAACAAAACTCGACCTTATTTTTTAAATGTTCTGTTGGGAAGAAATTGCTAAATATCTTAGTAACTAATGATTTGCATTTGAACTTACAGCACATTGCAACACTATGATCTTATATTATTTTCTCATACACATTTGTTTGATAATTTTAATATATCTCCACCATGTCAATACACTTAATGCACCATTAATTAAGTAGCAACATGCACAACTAGTTGAACAGAGACAAAGTGTGGATTTCATATAACTGTCTACGAATTAAGAACCAAAGAATACATAGCACATACTATTTTGTAGTTATTTATGGCATTTGAGCAGCTCAAGTTAAAACACATGAAGTAGCATACTAAAACTAGAAGAGATCTGACAAAGTGCAAATTTATAGTGAGAGCCACTAGAAAATGATGAAAGCATATGCCCTTGTACCAACCCTCTTGCTGCGTAGTAGCAGCCATCCAGAAGGTCAATAAAGCCCATACAAAGTAAACTAGCCCAATAAACACAATGAAGAGACATTGAACTAAATAAGATAATGCATATCAAGTGTCCATTTTTTAACATCACCTATGGCCTCTGATGCGGTTATGGGGAAGTCCGTCACAACACCATCAACAGAGAAGATTCCATTGTCTATGAAAGAAAGAACTTCAGCTAATGGGTCATAACTATAATTGTAGCTAAACAATGCATCATTAGCAAATTCTGATGCAAAAACTTCCAGTCCTTCCCTATGAGCATCCATGACAACAGAGGTGTAAGATTCTAGATAGCCACTGGATGTTACTGGCCAAATGTAATATTTCGGAATGAGAATTCCAGATGCAAATGTCTTGACAAAAGTGAGATTTTTTAACAATGAGCCATATGTCACATTTGTAGAAGGTTCGATAGTATCTTCTCCAAGAAAACGGAAAATCAGCTTGGTCTTGCTCGTTCTAAATCTTCCCACTATACTGCTGAGGAAACCTACTTCCGGAGATGAAACATAACTTGGAATATCATGTTTCGATAAATAAAGCAAATATCTCCTCATATCCAAATTGAGCTGCCTGTAGAATATATCATGCTGCATCACAGAAAGCAATTGAACAGCAAAATCAGAAGAAACAAAAGAAAGAGTGTCAATGCATGTCCACTACAAAAATACCCATTTCAATACCTGTATATTCAACCAAAGTTTTGCTGGCTTAACTTGTGCCACCAAATCTTCAACAGTAAGGATAGGAAACAAGCTTGCATCGAATTTATTACTTCGAGAAAGAATTGCTTGTGCCACTGCTCAGATTTTTAAGAATTTGTTAGAAGGTTATAGCGTATAAACATCACCTAGTTACCAACAAAGAGATCTGAAAAGCTTACATGTAATGGAAACAATTTGACAGGCAGCAATATTCTAATATTAAAAATGGCAGCTGAATTGCTAGACAGAAGGAAAACTTATAAAAGCTTTAGCAAATTTTTTAAAAAATTTTAATCTGCTTCTTCCAGCATGCGTCCAAAAAATGACTACAGTATATTAACAACATAATAAATGTCTACTGTACTGGCATGTCAGATAAGTTAAAAAGAGGAAATATCTCATCAGCAATTTCAACTTACGTGAGACCTGTGACAAATTTTGGATATCATAGTCAACAGAAAACCACCCTGATGTAGGCACCCCATTCACAATATAATTCATCTTTCCTTCAGGATATACCAATTTAATGTTTGTGCAATTATCTAACACAATATCAGGCAGACAGACGCCATTGCCATCTTTTGTCAACCGCACATCACACCATGAAATGGTATCAGGTGAACCAGCCACATATGAAAATTTGTAAGAAAATGAACTGGAATCAGGAAATAACCCTGAAAACCCACCCTTGGCTATAACCAAAGGGGTGCCACCTGAGTAGAAAAAAGATAGTCAGATGGACACTGATAAAAAATTATATGGTGCAAGTACTCAAAAAAGTGAAACTACAAAAATTTGTTTAAGCCTTCTGCAATGCATTAGGGACTGTCAACATTGATTACATTCAGGAATCTGGACACTAGAACTTGTTGATGTGACCAACATACTGGAGCATGGTTGCATGAAGATATATAGCTAGCCTCCATCTTGCATATGATATGTTAATATCCAGTTACTAATAGCAACATCCTTTAATCTATAATCATACATGGCCAAATATTTATCCATTATCTCAAGTGAATTTTTTCTTGGGTGTGTTTTTGCATTCTAACAAATAAATTAACATACTTCCAAAATTTGTACTGCATTGTTTTTTATCAAAGTTATGACATACGAACTAAAGCTTAAGACATGTGACCAACAAATACCTCTGTCATTTGGAGTTGTCATATGTACGAAGCTTTCAGATGTCCCACTAATCAACCAATTTTAAGGTCAGGGAGATTGGCATCTCCAATAAGACATGAGCATGTCAATCAAACACAATAATTTGTGGATGTCAAAATAACTAATGATTCCAGAATCAGGCAAATAACCCTCTGAGTCCGTGGTTGCTCAACCCAAGACACTCTGAAAGCCTACGATTTTGTACATACCCACTGGACACGTTCATCCCTATGTTAAGAAACCCAACCCAAGAATAGCAAACGTTTAAAAACCCTTTCTTCTTCCGTTCATCATGCCTAGGCAAACACTAAAAGATCTACTAAAAGAAAGCACAAACCAAAAGAGGATCTAATTTTGAAGAAAGCTCAAAAAGAAGAAGAGGAAGAGAAGCACCACTCAAGGTTAGCCACGGGGAGGTGGCGGTGAGGTTGGAGTTCTTGAGGCTTTGTGAGGAAACGACACCCGGAAGAACCACCGCAACGTGCAAGAGAAGCAATGCAGCACAAAAGGAGGCGGAGGAGGAGAGCTCCCACCCACCTCTCCTCGTCAGCATAGCGTCACTACTGCAAGCACCAAGATCCGGCCTTCACTGTCGAAACCCAATACCTTGGGCAAAATTTGGGGTATTGAGCAGCTTACCACAAGTAGAGCAAGAAATCAGAGATCTCTGTGCCGTTCCCAGTGACTGCGAGCTCGGATTCAAGAGAATGGAGGGACAGGGGGAAGAAGAGGAACAGGGAGAAAGTGACGAAGCGGGAGGGGGTGGAGGCCTTGGTTTCTAGCTGGCCGGGAATTCGCCCCGACTTCCACAGTAGGTAGTACCACTTTAAGGTGCAGGCTTGGCTGGTCTCCACTGGCGAGGGGAACAGAGGGGAGCGCGGTATTGATGATTACCGCGGAGGACGGAATCCGACAAAAGGGCCTATAAAGAGTGAGATTGACTTGAGACACGAACAAATGGCGAAGTTTCGTATCACTGCCACAGCCACTGCACGCATGTGAAGGTCTCCTGGCATGTGGCTCTATGTGTCTTGGTTTTGCTTGTGGATATATAATCTTATCAATTTTCCTCATCAGTACTTATAAAAAAAAAACTTTATTAAAAAATATTATAGATAATTTATAAAAAAAAACCTAGTAATGATATCCTCATATTTAATTTTTATTTTTATAAAATAAAATAAATGTAACGAATATATTTGACTTTGGGGTTTTTTAGTCAAACAGATTTATTTGACTTGAACATTCAATAAAAATTAAATTATTTAATTTAATTTATAATCAGTTGATTGTGGTAATTTTCTCTTAATTCACGTCTCACGTACATAAATAATTTGAATGCAATGACATTATACATGATTTATTTTTTCTTTGTATATAGCATAAAAGTTAAAGACTTCAATTCATCAACATTACTCATAAAGTTTACAAATTACGAAGATAACATCTTATGAAAGAAAAGATTATTTTCAATTGAAAATAGGCAAAAAAATAAAACAGTAAAATAGCCGATAAGTAACCATACATATCTTTCTCAACTACAAGCATATATAAACAAGTGATTGTTACCTTGGTGGTCAACAATTGTTTAATTTAAGCTATTGATATACACACACAAGTGCTGATTTAGAGAATGCATGGATAGATGAGAAAACTTTTGATAATGAGTTTAGAATTAAATATTATTATGATTGGCTTGTTGTTTTTTATATGGTTATAAGTGTTTATAATATGAAGGAATGCGGAGATGGCCAAACTGATAATACAAAAGTAGTTTTTCGTATTTAGTGTAGGTTATTACTACAATAAATAGTTTTTATTTTCATTCATATGAATTTAAACATCTTCGTGAAATTGAATTACAAAAGTTTGAGTGAAATAGAGGACAAACATAAGAAACTCAATACTTATAGTTATAATAATTATGGATATAGTAGACATTCAAAGTAGCATAAAGTGTGGCATGCATGGTGGAAGGGAAGGCAACGATAGTGATCTTAAAGGGAGCATACCTGTTCAGTCCAACAAACTCCAAAGGGCCAAAGTGAAAGAGCAACTATTAGCATCCACCCATCTCGAAGCTTACAAACAATATTAGCTCCATTTTCAATACATTAATGGATTGGTTATCTCGGGAGGTGAAAGACTTAATGGGCAAGGAGCTTTTACATCCTTATAACTAATGCAAAAAGATATGCAATTGCAAACCCCTACCGATGGTATGGTAGCATTGTCTTCCTTACTCTAACAATGTAAAAATTAACACTACTTCATTCTTACTTTGAATTGTACAGACAATCGCAACAATACTATTGTTTAGACCTTAGTATTCAGTTCCATTATGAACGCAACCATCAAAAGTATTTCTTCTATCAACATCAAGTTCTTCCACATTCATATCTTTGAATTAAGAAATATTACCTTTGATTCTATCAAGATCAATACTCCTGGAGATAGCCCCAACATTGATGGCATTCACATCGCCGACTCGACCAATATCCAGGTTGCCAATTCAATCATCGGCACCAGTGATGACTGCATCTCCATCGGCTCGGGCTGCACTAATTTGACCATCTTTAATGTGTTATGCGGCCCAGGCCATGGCATCAGCGTCGGTAGTCTCGGCAAAAATGTTGGTGAGAAAGATGTAATCGGGCTGAACGTGAGTAATTGCAATCTTACCGGTACAGCAAATGGATTGAGATTCAAGACATTGCAATCTTCTCCATCTAGGTTGAAGGCCACTGATTTCGTCTTTGAACACATCATCATGAATAATGTCTATAACCCCATCATCATAAATCAGAATTATTGCCCATTTGCTAACTGTCCCAAAAAGGTATGCCTCATTGCTTCTACTACAGCTAAATATATCATCATAGTCTTGAAATTTGAGCATCCTTCCTCTCTCCATGTAGGATCCTTCTCTAGTTAAGATCAAGAATATCAAGTACAGAAATATCGTGGGGACCTTTCTCTCGCCAGTAGCTTATAATCTAGTGTGTAGTAAGGTTGCTCCATGTGAGGGTGCGGAGCCCAGTGACATCAGCTTGAAGTGCAACGGCAACGAAAAGCAACCCAAAAATGCTTCTATTTGTGTTCATGTCTATGGTAGCTCCAATGGCAATGTGAAACCTGACCCGTGCATCTGATTTCGCATTATGGGGTTGTGAGGCAAAAGTGATGAACTGTTCCACACAAGAGTTCCTATCCCTACTTTTTTCTGCTTTCTCTTTGTTACATTGAGTATATGCCTTGTATCAGAAACAAAAAAAGAAATAAAGAAATTGTCCACATGCAAAATGACATCCCATGTTTATAACATGGATATCTCATGTTAGTTTCATATTTTTCTGAAAAATATACATTAAATTTTAGTGACATTGTAATTACAAAGTATAGTCATTAATATTACCGAGTTGTTATTCGATTAAGCCCTAGGTCACTAGTTGAAACGTTGTGTCAACAAGTCAGACTTCATA